AAGGAAAAGCCGCCACACACGCATAACAGAGGAGGATTTATTTGAGACCACGCAGCCACCAAACAGAGAAGAAAAGAGAGCGCAGCTAGAGATACAGACAGAGGAAAAATGAGAGGAGCCCGAAAAATTGCGGAGGGAGGCCGCACTCAGCACACGAAAGGGGATAAATAAGATCTAAATTTATATATGTATAATACCAAACAGTACTATATATCCACATAAATAAGATCTAAATTTATTTATCACACTAAACTAAAAAATATCAAATAAAACTATAAATTATATTATAAAGTAATAAAAATTTATGTGATTTATTATACATTAAAATAATTATTTTAAAATTAAAAAATATATAAACTAAGTATGAATATTAAATTTATATAAATAAATACTCTAAAAGTTTATGTCTCAACTTACCTAAAGACTACATAGAGATTGAACATTATAATGACCTTGAAAAAAAAAATTAAATAATCATTAATTAAAATTATAAAAATAATTATTATACTTTATAAAGTTAAAGTATTACACTCATACACATTATATTTAATAAATATTATAGTTAATAAACATTATATATATGGTATCTACTATACCCAATAATTAAATTTTGAATTAATTAAATTTTTTTTCAAGTTTTAATATATATATATATAATATATATATGTGTGTGTGTGTGTGTGTGTAAAAATTACCATTTTAACAAATCAAGTATAAAATATAGGTTATTATTTTAAATAATTAAATTTGTTATTTTTTTAATTGTTAGTTATGTATTTAAGTTTTTATCATTCTGTTATAAGAATATAAATTTCTTCACTTCTTTATTTTATACAAATATTTAATTTTTCAGCACCCATGGTTTGTTCATGCGCGTTATATTAATTGTTGAATAAATTAATAATTATAAACTAAATATATATTGAATAAAACAAATAATACTTTATAAAATATTTTTTAGAATTTGAAATAATATTAAAAAAATTACTTTCTTATTAATTATTTATAGTTTTTTATTTCACAATAAGAATTTCATCTTTTTCACATTTTCTTACACTAACTAGTTTTTTTATGAAATACCCGTGTAGTTCACGGTCGTTGTACTAGCTGTTAATAAACTACATAAAATTGATCAATTAACAAACTTTTGTGTAAGAATTAAGAAACACATTTGGGAAGTATTTGGGAAATGTTCACAACGTGCTTGCGGAATCTTATAGTCTCAAATAAACAGGGACATAGCAGGAATAATTACCTATACTACAAAAACAAAAATGATGAAGTTAAAGTATAATAAAAGCTGATTTATATATAAAAAAAATATAATACTTATTGCAATTAACATAAGTTTGTTTTACTAGCAAAAAAAATAAAAACATAAATTTGTTTAGAATTTATTTAATTCTGCTCGACCTTATAGATTGTTTGTTTAAAAAAAATGCTTGTACAGTTGGGCTTATAACAGCGGTTGATAATCCTCATCTTTGAAATGGCAAAAATAAGGGGATTTTAGAACCAGACCAGCGTAAATGGTCAACAAAATGCTACACAGATAGCCGTGAATAAATTAAAAAATAGTTTACTGTTTATTCTGATGAGTTGTTTATTGTTATCCAAAATATCGAGGAAAAATAACTACAAAATTTGGTATTTTTTTACCATAATTTGACCATATATTATGCCCTTACGACGACTCCAACCAAAAAAATAAATAAATAAATAAATAAAATGAAATCTTTTTTTTGGTACAATGAACCTTCCGGTTTCCGAATCCCCTAGGAGACCGACTAATCCGGAATCGAGCCGGGTAAAACCACAAGGGCGAAAATTAAATCAAAGGTACAATCTTTCTTGGATTTATGGGAGGGCAAAACTAAAATATTAAAAATGAGTAAATACATGGTTGATATTGTTTTGATTTAATATTTCTGTGTGACACTTTTCCAATAATTGTAAATAGCCATTAATTAAACAACAATAGCAAAATTTGTGTTGCTTGGATGTAATTATGTGTTATATTTATGAAAGTCTGTCGTTTGGAAAAATAAATAAATAAATAAACAACAATGGCAAAATTTGTTATTCCAAAAGGATTATTCCCACGCAACCAACGGCTTTAAAAATTATTCTCCTATAACGTTTATGGAATTTTTATACAAAAATTTAATTCACACAAAATATTTCAATTGTTGTTTTGTTTTGAACCAGGTTAGGAATTTTATATGGAAAATTCAAATACTGAATTAGTCATTAAATTTATTGGATTTGTCTCATAATTTTTGTTTGCATTAATACAATTTTATTTTGGAAGTCATTACTCTAATGATAGTCAAAGTTAAGTAAAAGTCAAGCAATATCTTATTGAAAGATTAGAAGACTTGTTTGTTTGTTGTTTTTTTTCCCTCTCCATAAAAGACATTCTTGCGAAATATTGGTTCACGGATAATGGAAGATACATTAATATATATATAGATATAGTAGAAAGCCAAAGTCAGCATCACATTCGCATGTTTCTAATTAACTTCCTCTAATGAACTCGTGATGATACTGAAATTTGTTCAAACTTAAATAAAATAACAATAAATGCACACACGTGCTTCTTCTGCAATTTATGGTGTGTAAATCAATTCATACACCATACATTTTAGATAAAATTACATATATTAAATGTCATATTTTATTTACTGCCTGATTTGTGTAACATATCTTTCTTTTAACGAAGACAAAAGATTCAGTGGCATGCAATTATACAAATATTCAATGTCACATTTTATTTACCGCCTGATTTGTTTATTAGATGTCATATTTTATTTACCGTCTGGTTTGTTTAACATATCTTTCTTTTAACGAAGACAAAAGATTCAGTGGCATGCAATTATACTAATATAAGAAACTTCATGTCGGAATTTATAGGTCAAGCGACTGAGTGCTTGTGATTCTTGAAACTTCAAATTAAGTAAGCAATTTGAATGATATTATGAACTTTCTAATTAATCATTTTATGAAAACTATTTTTATACCACCTACAAATGAAAATGGGTGGGATTATATAGCTAAATTAACTATATTTTTATACTATCTGTATATATAGCTAACCAATGTGTGCTAGCACATACCACCAAACGAACTATAAACTACAAATAACGAGAAACGCACAATTATATCGAATCAATTTATATGAAATTATTTTAAGACAATAAATTAATCAATTATCCTAACCCGGCATTAACCAGTGTGTGCTAGCACATACCGCAAAACAAATATTTTGGAGACGTTAATTTGTCGAATACCGTGGCATTAATCGGTACAATTTTGTTTTACGGACAGCGTGTTTCACGTGTTTCGTCTTTGTTTATTATTTATATTTTTTTATTTGAATTTGTTCAAAGTTCTTGATCGCATGGTTCATATTTGTTGTTTGTTCGATTCATTTGTCATCATTCTTCGAAAGACAAGTATGTACGCACATATTCAACTCATGAATATACCACGCCGAATACTTTAGACGATTGTGGTTGTGATACTATGTTGGAATTTTGTGAATTATATTGATTTTTTTTTTTATCAAAACGGTAAATATATTAATAACTTAAAAAACTCAAAACGAGTAAATCCGAGGTATCAACGACACCACATGAACCACCACAAAGGCTGGATTCAACCCCTTTGAAATTACACAATCAACAAAGGAGTTACAATCATCCGCAAAACACAAACTCAAATATAAAACACAATGACTCCAAAATGAAGATAACAACTCCATAATGGAGACTAAAGCTAGAAGAAGCTGAACTAAGACAAAGACATCAAATAAAAGAAAAAAACAAAAAAAAAACATAAAATAATAAAAACAACTCACATCTATGCAATACAATAAATCACTCCTCACTACCTATCACAAAATCTAACATTGTCAGAGAAGCAGCAGCAGAAGAAGAGAGTGTGAGCGGGCAAGGTCAGCAAACGAACCGGACGAGCTAGCAACCAAATTTTGAATTGGAAACTTGCTCCAATTGGATGACAACCGACGATTATCCCGAGAAAACAGAATCAAGCCATTAATTAACTCAGATCTAGCAACTCCACACTCCTTAACTCAACAGGCTATGGTGGCTAAGTAGACCCAAAGTAACAAGGACTGACCTTTCTTCTAAACGATCACCACCAGACAACAAATTAACCTCAGGACCCACCAACCGAAACCTCCCTGATGGAGATAAGGATGTTTAGAATTTTCAATCTAATTATATGTTTCCCTCTTCTTTATTATTATTATTATTATTATTATTATTATTATTATTATTATTAGTGGGATTATTGTTTTGTTGGAGAAGTTAGTATTATTAAGATTCTTGTCTTGTTGGACAAGTTAGTATTAGGGTTTTATGAGCCTTATTTAATGAACTCCTCTTCTTTTGTGTTATTCATTTTGAATTAAATAAAATATTGTTGAATTTTGTAAATTTTACGAGAGAGTATCTCGTTTATCCTTCTCACTCCTACATCATTCCCCCAACACAACAGGACAGAGGGACCCCTAACACAACCTCAGGAATAACATTAGCACCTTTCTTTCATTCTTTCTTTCTTTCTTTTATCAATAATTATGAATAACATAGAATTACATAACGACTAAGTTAAATTAGAATATTCAACAAACGGTGCTAGAGGCTAACGTGATCATTCTTGACATATTTAGAAACTTGCCGAATAATGCTCCAATTCCAACAATATCAAGTCACATTTAAATAAATCTCCAAATATAACATCCAAACCAGAATAACATATAAAACTCCAATACAACATTTAATATAAGATAACATCTCGTATTCTGCTCAGCAAAAAACTATCACCAACTATCACGCTTACTGAAAAATATATATATATATATATATATATATATCTTTTCTTTGGAAAATAAATCCGACCTTTCCCTAACATTCTTTCCACGTAAAGATAAGAACACTCTTTCCTTTTTGTTTTTCTCTCTCTCAAATTGATCAGTGACCGGGGCCCTTCGTGCTGGGCCCCGAATCCTTAATCTCTCCGAACACGTTAGCATTGCTACCTGAAACCTCGTGTGCGTTAGCATTTTCGTATACATTTCTGCTCCCCGACACCTTACTGTCTGCGAACACGTTAGCATTTGTTGCTGCTAAAACCTCGTGTGCATTATTAACATTTTCGTGTCCATTAATCTCTTCCGACTTCTTGTAAGCCTCAATTTTTGGTTCATCATAGTCTTTTGAAGCTTCAAGAAGACGCGAGTTTGATGCTAAAAAAGCCATGCTAAGCGTAAAAAATATGACACACAATTTAGTGCTATTCATTTTTTTTTTCTTTTTTTTTTCGAGGTTTTTAAGATTACGAAATCCACAGGTGCTGCTAGAGTACTAATGGGGTATTTATAATACTATAATATATGATCATTTTACATTCAAATGGAGGCTCACAGTCATAGATTTTTGTCATTCAAATTCCCAGGTTATGACTCTGTGTGGGGGGACTTGACTTGCATGTGATTGTTTCTAAAATTCGTTAGAATATTGCGTGAGAGGATATGTAGTGAGATATTTGTCCACGTAAACAGTGTTTAGTTTGCACGACTTTAACTTTATGGATCCCGTGCGATGTACGGGTAAGAGATATATAGTAATATATATAAATTAGAAATATGAAAACAATATGTAATACAATTTACTTATATTAATTTATTGAAAATATTATATTAAAGTTAAATTGTGCAAAATTACATAAAATATTTCTATTTAAAATGACTACATACACGTAACTGATAATAAATTACATTATATTTATTTCAAAATAAGTATCGTTTTATTCACAAATTCGATTTGACAACAATGTGATTCTATAGAATAATATTTTGATAAAATTTCATCATATATTTAAAAATATATGTTAATAATAAATAATGTTTCATTAATTAAAATGAATTTATTTTTGTATAAACTATCAAAATAAAATAAAATAAAATAAAAAATTAAGCAATTTAGTAATTTATTTAATTATAAACAATTGACTATTTCATTTACGTCCAAGTTAATATTGACCTGTAAATTACGAATAATTACTTATTTGACTTTTAAATTTGGAACCCAAATTTGGACAATACCCTTATATATTAGCTATTTAAATAATTCCTTAATAACTTGGTTAATTTTCAACTAACAATATCAGAAATGAAATTAATCACTTAATAATTTGAATTTCAAACTTAAATTACAACGTNTTTCCAAAAAAAAAAAAAATCAACTAATAGTAAAAATAATTTTTTTGGCCGGATTTTACATTATATTTTAATTAAATATTTCTATTTATTATATAGTAATAGATTATTCATGATTTTAATTAAATTAAAATGTGGGTATTTAATGGTTTTAAATACGGGATCATATGTTATTTTATTTATGCAAAAAAATTTAATTGAGAGTTTCTAATATAAGTTGATAAACTTTTGAAATATTAAAACGAATTTGTTTCAATGTTAATAGTTAATATTTATGCTAGTTGGGATTGTCCATAAAAAATTGATATTGATACGCTTTGGAGATTTGGTTTAAACTTTAAAAAACATCTTCAAATTGATTTGTTCAAAAAATTTTGGAAATTTTGAAACGACAATTGAAGATTTGGCATACTGACAAATTTTTTCAAATTTTCGAAAATTTCAAGCAACTAAAATTAAATAGGCGGTATATTGCAAAATTTTTCAAAATAATTTATTATATTTAGTAATATATTTAGGCAGGATTTTAGATGATTTTTTAGTTACTATTATTGAATTTTTTCAGGTTGCCTCTTTATATATTAAATAGATTGTCCAAATTTTTTAATATAATTTAGTGTACGATCCCATAAAAATGTATTGTTAACTGACTAANGATAGAGGTAAATTATAATAAGAGATGATTTGTATAAAAAAAGATCATATTTATTGCAACTAACATAAGTTTGTTAGAATTTAATTAATTCTGCTCGAACTTATAGATTAATTGTTTATTAAAACAATGCTTGTATAGTTGGGGCCATAACATCAGAAATTCTACGGTGCCCATTAGGATACCATAAGTCGTGCCACAATATGACGTGGTATATGAGGTAGCTTTTTTATTTTTAATTATCAATTACATGAGATATATAATGTGGTATTTTTTAAGATTTAATCAATTAAGAAACCTTTCATAATAAGATTGTTCCCAAAATCATATATATAATGCTTCCATAACAACAGAACTTCCATACGAATAAAATCTAGAGAATCAAACTTAAAATCCTGTCAATACTGCTAGAGTCGGTTCCCTGCTCCTTTATGATGAAAGTGGACATGGTGAAATAATTCATGCTCCTATATCATATTGTGGCATGACTTATGGTATCCTAACAGACACCATAAAATTTCTGGTCATCACAGTGGTTGATAATCCTCATCTTTGAAATAGCATTTGTATTTGGTAATTGTCTTACAAAAATAAGGGAATTTTAGCACCAAAGCAGCGTCAATGGTCAGCAAAATGCTACTTAGATAGCCGTGAATAAATTAAAAATAGTTTACTTTTTTTTTTTTTTCTTCTTCTGATGAGTTGTTATCCACAATATCCGGGACCAAAAAACTACAAAATTTGTTGCTTTTTATGATAATTTGACATCATTCTTATGTCGTTAGGAATATTACTTGCAAGTTGCCCTATGTTGATTCTGGAAGATAAATAGGGTTGGCTTATATATCTAGTAGACTATTCCTTCCATCACCAATTGATTTTAGGAAAAAATCTTACTATAGTGCACTTAGGCTCACCCTCTTACAGTACATTTCCTCTACATGGGACTGCACTCTCTTCCCCAGATTCTTACATGGTATCAGAACCAGGGCAACTCGGGACTGGATTTTTATTTTTTTACTCGGTTTGCTCTGGGCTTGGGCTTTCTCTCTACCCAGCATGCTCTGTGTTTGGGTTTATGAAGAACTCATAAGTGAAGGGACGTGTTGGAATATCACTTGTGAGTTGTCACACATTGATTCTATATGGTAAATAAGCCTAGCTAATATGAAAAGGATCGTGATAAAAATCCTTTGCTTAAACATGTTATCCCTACAGGCAAGTAAGTCTTCAATCATCGACATAGTGTAATATGTGAAATTTTCTCGTATATGGCAATTCATGCGGTCACTTGGACATGCGATTACATAATATACGAAAGTGTTTTGATGATTATTAACTATACGTCCGATTTGAATATGACAGTTAAAAACTATGCGAAAAAATATCGCCGAATCGTAAAATATGCGGCGATCAATTTGGATATCTGATAACTATATATACGACATAAATTCGCATATCGTAAATTATGCGGTAGATTTGGATATGCTTGCAACATATGCGAAAATGTTTCACATAATTATTAATTATGCGTTCGATTTGCATATGCATTGATATATTTATGCGAAAAAATCTCGCATAATTTTTAATTATGTAGTTCATATGGATATGCGATTTTGATATCGCGTATCATTTCGTGTCTTATGAGGTGAAAAACAAGGTTTTTTTTTACATAGATATATCCATGTAAAAAAAAANAAATATATTGATGCTTAGTTATTTCGGATTTAAGTTGATTTTTTGATAAAGTAGTTGCATTGAAAAAAAAGTTGAGTGGTGGAAATTTGAATTTATTTTAAACTTATAGATTATTATGAGTTAAAATGCAATATTGAAAGTAATATTAAAATTAATATGATATAAAAATAGTAAAACAATGATTAGTAATTAAAAATGTGTGAATGGATGAACATGTAAATTTGATGAAAATTTTGTATTAATAGTTGATTGATATGATATTATTAATCATATTGATAATATTGATAATATTGAGAAAAATTAAATTGAATAATTCGTATCAATCGTAGTTTTAAAAAATATGGAAATAACCAAAATCAAAATAATTGTATACTACGATAAAAGTGTAATTGGTAAGGACCATAATTTAGCTTATAGTTCATTTTGCTATATTATAAGTTTATTGTATTCAAATAAGTGTGGATTGGTAGAACAATTTTTTTTTTAAAAAAAAATGCGTTTATCTCATAAACTTATTTTGGTAGTTGTTGAATTTTTTATTTCAACTTTATTATCAGTTAATTTTATCAAACACTTCTATTATCAACTAATTTTTAATCTATACGTTCAAAATTTACTTATAAACTATCAACTAACTTATCAAATATCATCTAAATTATTAACTAGTTTACCAAACATAATCTAACTCAAAATGGATTGAAATTGAACAGCGACCCTTGGAGGCTCCTTTATACTTACTAAATTCCATTCATCCAATTATCCAAACACAATTAAATTAACAAAGCTCAATAAATAACCTCCATAAAGCCATCTGGAAAATTCGATGCTGCTCTTAGGGCCAGTGCAATCAGAGCCGTAGATTTTCACACACACAATAAATCAACGGTCCGTAGAGCTGACTGTACTGCGGTCGATTTCTCCCTCAACCAACCCACACGTTTTATTCACCAACTTCCACAAACCCTCACACAGCTCAAAAAAAGAAAAAAGAAAAAACTCCGGAAAAATGGCAGCTGCCGCCCCACCACCACCACCATCCGCCGCCCCCATCACCCTCCCCGAGCCCAATCCCTCCGTCCACACTCTCTTCTCGCGCATCCGTCTGGCCACCGTCCACGACGTCCCCCACATCCACAAGCTCATCCACCAGATGGCCGTCTTCGAGCGCCTCACCCACCTCTGCGAAGCCACTCCCGCCGCCCTCTCCGCCACCCTCTTCCCCCCGAACGCCACCCCTCCACCCTTCACCTCCTTCACCGTCCTCCTCCTCGAGCTCTCCGCCTCCCCATTCCTCCCGTCGCAGGATCCCCATTTCACCCCTCTCCTCAAATCCGTCCACCTCGACCTCCCGATCGACGATCCGGAGAAGGATTCTTTCCGCAGCACCGCATCTGATTCCGGTGGCGATGTCTCCATCGGTGGATTCGTCCTGTTCTTCCCCAATTACTCGACGTTTCTGGCTAAACCAGGGTTCTACATCGAGGACATCTTCGTGAGGGAGTGCTACAGGAGGAAGGGTTTGGGGAAGATGCTGTTGTCGGCTGTGGCGGCGCAGGCCGCGAGGATGGGCTATGGGAGAGTTGAATGGGTGGTGCTTGACTGGAATTTGAACGCCATCAAGTTTTACGAGCAGATGGGGGCTCAGATATTACCCGAGTGGAGGATCTGCAGGCTGACCGGTGAACACCTTCAGGCTTTTGCTCATATTAATCTTTGATTTCTGATTAACAGTTTTTGTGTTTTTTTCCTGTGGGCTGTTATTCTTCACGTGTTTTGATGAAGATACTACACTGGTCTTTGCTTTCCAAGAAGTACTAGTTAATGAAGAGAGTTGTTGACAATCATCTTTGTGCTGATTCATTGGTGTTCACTGATTTAATTAAGCGTGATTTGTGTTTTTTCTCCATGTCAATAGTCATTGGTGCTCTGGGCATATACTTGTTTTGATTCACTTAAATTTCATATTAGTGAGTTCTTAACATGCATTTTCCTTTTACTTTCAAACATAAGCTCTATATACATTTTGCATCATTAACATAATTCAATTGGAAAATGTGGCACTGCTTGAGCAGGAGTTCATTTCTCTATGAATTTGGATCCCAGGGGCTAGATTAGATGATGGGAGCATTACGAAACTTGCACGTTTTTTTTGTGGTTATATGGTTTTGCATAATTTTGGTTTCTACTAGTAGAGATTTGGTTTAACTTATACTGTGTTTACTGGATCTGTGCTATTTAATTGAAAGAACGGAAAAATAAATTAAAGTTTTGAACATTTCTCACATCTTGCATGAAGTTCAGTTTCAGTATCAAACTAATTTGCTTCATTCTTCAGTTATTCTATTTCTCTATGATCACCAAAAAATTATCGTGCATAAAAGTGTGTATGTCATCTGTACTGCTAAATTACCATGACTATGAGGATGAGAATTTGTTTCACCATATAATACACATGTGCAATTCAATTCGTCTAACCTTTGATGCGCCCATCACTCATCAAATTATCTTTAACAAATTTTCTAGTTACACATTTGCCGTTTTTACAAATCTTGAGTTGGCTTATAATTTTTCCGGTAGAACTCCCATCTTAGTTGTAGAACTGAATTTTCCTCACCATTGAGAAAGTTGTATGAAGAAATTGGTCTACCCCAGTTTCGTACTCACAATTTGACCTTGATATGGGCATCCAACTTGTATCCATCACAAACCTCCGTTTGTTTCGAGTGAAGTGATATGATTGAATTAAAGCATTGACCTTGATATGGGATCCAACTTGTATCCATCACAAACCTACATGGCCTCGTTTGTTGTGAGTGAAGTTATATGATTGAATTAAAGCATTTATGGAGACGTAGTTATGTGTTTGCTTTTAGTGATTGTTGGCAATTGGATTACTCTTGGCCAGGATAGTATGAGAAAATCCAATGAACTATGAGTCTATGATTGAATCGATGAATTAGTCAAGATGCAGTTATAATTACTTTTGGCCAGGATAGTATGTGATAAAATCCTATGCACTATGATTGAATCAATGCATTTATCAAGATGTAGTTATGTGTACTTTTGGCCGGGGATAGTAGGATAAAATCCTATGAAATATTTGATAACTTGTTCCGACCAAGTTGTGGTGATAAGTTTTAGAAGAAATAGTTATTTTACTCCTGATGAATGAAGTTTTTGGCACCACCAATTAATAAGTTAACACTTTCACCTCACTGAATGTAAGACAAATTATGCGATAAACTACGTAACAGACAAACAAAGATAATATGATAGAGTGCGAAATATATATGCGACAGATATTCGAAAATAATTGATAAAGTACGAAATTGATAAAATGCAAAATAGTTATGCCATAAACTATGCGACAAATAAGCAAAGATAATCGAGCAAATGCAATTTCATTATATGATGAAGAACCCGAAGATAAAAGGTTGTGTAATTATATGAAGATAGAGAAAAGTGAGATCAACAACTAGAGGTGGCCATGGTCGGCCCAGACCAGAACCAGAACCAGCTCGTGTGCACGGGTCATTGAACCGGACCCATGCTACAAATAGGCCAGTTCCGAATCTTAAATTTTGTTTTTACTTGCCGTAGCTTAGCAATCATGGTAATCTAATATTAAAACGAAATTACTATGAAAAATTTGACCAAACTAAATACCTAAAGGTTCCATCTAAGAAAGTCGATAATCTGCAAAACGACTCCGAATATAGCTTACGATGGATTAGAAATTCACTGTATAATGTTTCCAAGCAACCATTCCAGTGACTTGTTACAATGGGATTCAAAATTATTAGTTTCAACTTATCTACCTAAAAGAATTTGAGGTATCCAAAATTCCTTCAAATGAAAAACAAATTGAAGTTTTTGTCAAAAGTAACCATCATCTGTCATGACAGAACAATACACCCATCAGCTGATGATTATCAAACAAAAATTGGATTGCAATACATTTATATACAATTATATTTACAATGCAAATTTTCAAACACTAATAATCGACCCAACAGAAAATTGTTTAATCCCACAGCTTTTCCTTGAACTACTCAAATTAAAAGGTCTCCACGTAAGTACCGAGATTATGAAAGAGACCTTGTTTTTATATAACTTCCACCGACTCTCCAATATCAAGGGCACTAGATTAAGTCAAATAACAATGTAAAACAAATATATCTCCAAACTATTAATAATGTTTTCCATATTAAGATACAAATAAATATATTTTTAACACAGGTAGGATACTATTATGAATCCTACGCATCCCATTGCCCAATGTATCATTCAAGCCAATAACCTAAATCCTCATTGAAACATAGATTTTCAATAAAGGTTTAAAATAAGGGGTTCAATACTTCAATTACCAGTCTTCATTGGCTGTGTTTTCAGCAACTAGCTTGATTCTTGCACGTACGCCTTCTGAAAAATCCAAATAAATTAACAAAAAAAAGGGTAAAGTGTAAGGAAAAGCATTATCACAAGTATATCTCTTTAGAAGTGTAAAGAAATTGCTAACTTTATTTAAATTGGCGATATTTAGGGGTTGATTGTTTATGAATTCAACTAGTTTTTAATTGGTTTATTTTTTAACTATAGTTAATTTTGAAAAAAAGGTGGTATGGTTAGTTATTAGTGGATATATTAAAATAATATATAAAATAAAATAATTAAAGTTGTTAGGGCACCTGCATCGCTTCATTCTTTTGTCCGTTTAAACGCCTCCGAAGCGTTAAACACAGATGTCGTTCATCCATTAAAATGAGGGGCCCGCACAAACGTTCAATGGGCTGAATGCCTTTTACTTCCCCTTTTTTTTGTTTTAAAATCATTACTTAATTAATCTTTTTTTCTTTTTGTTTTTATATTTAACTTATTTTTTATTTATATCATAATTCCCAATATGTATCAATAATTTATATTTTCTATCCCTCATTCTTTGTCTATAAATACACCTCATTTTGCCAACAACTAAAATAAATATTTTTTGTAATTGTATTATTTTTTTTCTTGTGTAATCTTAATTTTAGTCATTTTGGTCTTGTAATGTTTCATTTTCATGCATTTAAAATTTATTATTATAATTATAAAATATTAAATTTTATTTTTATTGAGAATATAATATAAAAATTTATATTGAATGAGTGGATAATGAGTCCCATATATGTATTTAAATGAATGTGTAGGAATGTGAGTGTGTGTTTAAATGGAGAGAGATTTAGTGGAAAGATGAATTGGAGATGATGTGGATGAAAGAGAGTGTTATTTTTTGATTAAATGAATGATATTTATGTTAAAGGGATGTGGATGCCCTTATGATGTAAAAGTAGGAGAAAAATGATTGAGAGTGATAGTTAGTTAAAATTATGTGAGTGGATGAATAATGAATTAAAGTTGATGTGATTTGTAAGAATAATTGATTGAATGATTGGTTGGTATTATTTAATTATATTGGTAATAATGGCGATAGTAGCATTGAGTTAAATTTGAGTTTTGATTGGTTTTCTTAAATTGAATTGATAAACAATCACACCCTTAGTAACTTTATAGATAACCAGTGTTGGTCAAAGCAGAAGTTGTTTACAATATCGCCAATTTAGGACTTACTAACACTGAAGATAGATAAACAATAGAATTTTAACAGAGAAAATTATGGATAGTGAGGAAGCAGTTACCTGTTCATCACCTTTCACATCAACTAAATTCGCAGTATTTCTAACCTAAACATCACATGCTATAATTGAATAAGTTTTCACCCTTAGTTATTGTTTTCAGAAGAGATGAAACTGGTTAAAATCTTTGCAATTGGCGATATACTAAACAATCACATCCAAGAAACTAAAACAAAATGTTTCTTTTCTCTTTTTTGATAATTCACACTTGATCCGGAACATTCCAACCAGAACCAAGAAAAAAATATATATCTTTTTTTTTCCAGGGGCTAAAAATTAAAGTACCTTGAGCCTTTATCACCCAGACCATGGACTCAAATTATTGTTGCTTGGTGCTTCCCTTTTCGCCCTAACATGAATCCTTCTGAATTCAAATGTTATGGAGGTTTGGCTGCCTTTAACAATCAAGAGATAAGTTTACACGCACATATCTCAAATTTGTTTAATTGATAGTCGAGCAAGTCGAGTAACCAACAACAGGTGAAACTTTAAATACATTTTCTATGGTAGCTAACCAAAGCAGCAAAAGGAATTTAACTTAACCAAATCAGGTCCAAAGAGAAAACTGGAAAATAAAAAATAAAAATAAAAGAAAAGGCAAAGAAAAGAATAGGATGGCCCAGAATTGAGAAGCAACAACAGACTACATTTTAAAAATATTTCATCTAATGGGAAACCATAAATACATTAAACAATGAGAGGAATGACTCATACTTTTCTCTCGAATAGCAAATGTTCATGTTTTGAACCCGAGAATTTGACTCAAATGTGGTGACGAGTTTTTCTCCGTAGTCATTACTGACAACACTTTTCCTCCTTAATATCAGAAGTAACTTCTTGTCAACGATATTCATAATGCTCTTGCCCTGCTTCAACTGATAACCATGTTTAAGGACCAGTAAAAAAAACAAATCACCCTCCAATATTAAAAGCAAACCAGAAACTATGCAATACGCTCCATAAACCGATTATCAATTCACATATAAGGAACAGATATTTGACACGAGAATTGAAAGCACTGAACACAACAACAACATAAAGTGCTCAGGCTTTTTCTCATTTACATGGTATGCCTATTTCTCTAGATTCTGAAAAAATCGACGTACCTGCAATGAGTCCCAATTAGTGAAGAAGGGAAATTTGATCAGGTGGCATCAAAATCTAATCTCCACTGCCCAACAAGATTTGAAGGTCTTGCGTGTTATTGGACTCATAACCGAGATTACCTGTGGGTCGCTGTGCGTCCAGTACCCTCAACTTGGAGCCGTCAAAATAAAAATGAGTTAGTTTAAGGAGGAAAAGATGGTACACTGGCTGAAAATTGCCTAATTCCTTATGAGCATAGACGAATTCCCCAAGACAATTCCAAAGGACTGGTTAAAACTGAGATGAAGATTTCGTTGTTTTGTTTTGAGGAAAATAATTTTTGTGACTGTCATTTCATGTATTTGGAAGTGAGAATAGTTTCTTTATTTCAAGAGTTCAACAGTCCCATTACGAATTCACCAAGAAACCCATCAATCGAGTTCCATCCAGCAACCGTTTGCCACAGTAAGACCTCTGACCCTAATTCATGCCCAGCAGCAGAAGATACCGCCAAAAGCCATGGTAAAATCAGAAGATTCAGATTGATGCAAGGATTAAACCCAGGAGTTCCAATAGTAGAGGTATGGACCCACCGATGGTTTTATGGCAATATACTCATAATATAACACCCATTGAACATAATATTTTAAACGAAATATTAATTAATAGCCTTATTTAGTTTTAATTAATGAAAAATGTTAATATTTAGACAAATTAGTAGTTTGATAAATCACATTTTTATTAATTAATTATTAAAGACGTATGTACCACGCATGTCCGACAAGGGCCATTGTCGAACACAAGAATAAATTCTTGTGTGAGGCAGCCTAACTTAGGCTGGTCGACCCATCATACTAGTGAACAAAAATGCATACTTGTACTGTCAAATGTCATACTTCTGTTTCACTAGTGTTTCACTAGTTTTTACAGTAAGACATTTTCCTAATACTTCCTAATAAAAGTATGCATGTTTGTGAAAAAGGAATGTCGGCTTAGTGGTTAGACCGGCCTAACAGAAGACAAGCAGGCCTATAGAATACCTCTCATAACTTTATGTAAAAATTAAAATTGATTTTTCTAATAATTTCCAACGACCTGACCCCCTTTACCCTAATATCCATCTTCCTTTCCATCTTGACATATTCCATGACCCGATCTCCCTTGTCCCCCCTTTGAGTATATTTTTTATTTCTTTTTTCTCTTTTTGATTTATATAGCAAGTGGGCTGCCCTGCTAGAGTCAATTGTATGATCAGCGACTAAATCTCTAATTCATGTGATTATGAGCCTTGCCTTAATCTGAGTTTTCATATTTTCATGTCATTTTTAAAGATGGAATCTGTTTTGCCAATATGCTGCTTCCTATTGTCCGTGGAACATTAAAACAGCCTTGTCATGTCGTATCATCATTAAAACCACATATGCAGTAAGTTCCCTGCTATTCGTTCCAATAAATTAATGTTCGCAAACCAGTATATGCAGCAAGTTCTCTGCTAGCTTCCATTACGTTTTGAAAAAAAAAATCATATTCCAGCTAGAGTCTAGAAGTTGAAAACCACTACTCTTCCAGAGTTGAAAACACTGTCTGGATCTCACAAGCATGGCATGCTCATGTTTGGGTTGGTTTGTTTAGCTCAGTTTTCTTACCTTCCATAAATCCTAGAATGTACAGGCCTGGACTGCTTAACACTTTTCACCCAAGACTATCATCTTCTACCATCAACACCAACTTAAATTAGCTAGAATAAGAGAACAAATCAATCACAATCGATATACTAAAACTAAACAAAAAAGACATGGCTAACCAATAACAAGAATCTATTCACATCCATTCATTCCCACAACTCACAAAACATCATCTTCAAAAGTTATTGCCTCTTCCAAAAAACAAAAAAGCAACTCCTATATTCTTNAAAAAAAAAAAAAAAAGAGGTGTTGTCACTACTAAAAATCCTACTACTAACAGTTTTTCAACAATCCTCACCAAAATATATTTATTCACAGCGACAAAACAATATCAAGATCATCATTAGGTTAGAAAACGTCACCGTGGGCCGAGGGTAACCGTGAAGTCAGTAACTGAACCCATATTCCCCGCCCAATCTTGCGATTCCAAAAACATCTGTGAGACACGAACTGCAACTCTACCCATATCTGGCCGGCTTTCAGGGTCATCCTCCACGCAGTCCAGGGCCAGGCGAACCAATTTCTCCACCACTGCCACTGGATAAGAGTCCCTCAGCCTCCTGTCCACCCACTTCCGGACTCCACCTTCCTTCACGGCTGCTCTGGCAGTCTCCACCACCGATATCCTTGCATAACTCCCACTCTCCTCATCAATTTCATATGCCAAAGCCTCCATTCCTGATAACAATTCAAGAATCACAACCCCAAATGCATAGACATCGCATTTTTGTGTCACAATCCCACTTTTTTGGAACTCGGGGGCCATATAGCCACGGGTTCCCTCAAGCTTATTGACCTTGCTGCTCGATCTTTTCAACTCCCGATTTGAATCCACACTACAGTCTTCTCTAATGATCTCACCGCAAAGCTCGGACGTCCCGAAATGGCAGAGTTTAGCATTCAGGGACGGCTCGACCACGATTATGCTGCTACTCTTGATGTGATTGTGCACAAATTCAAACCCTAGTCCAGTTGAGTTATGGACATAGTCCAGACCATGGGCAATGTCAGAGGCGACCCGCATGCGGGACATCCAATTAGACAGCACCGTGAAATTAGGGTTCCTCGCGTTTCTTAGGCAATCGGCGAGATTCGCACCGGGAACGTAGTCGTAGACCAGATAGATGTAGGCGCCGGAAATGGAGGCTCCTTTCAGCTTGACGAGGCTGGAGTGGTGGCTCCGGCAGATCACGGCAAGGCGGTCGACGATCTGTGCGGTGTCCATCTGGCGGCGGGTTCGGCGCTGGAAGATCAAGCAGAGCTGGTCGCGAACGGTGCAGCGCCAGGCGGTGGAGGAGGAGGATTTTGAGTGGGGCTTGATGAGGAAGTTGTTGGTGGCGGCGATGATCTCTTGGAAATCGTAGATGTGGGGCTGCTCGCGTGAGATAGACTCGCGGAGGCTGGAGAGGGAAGCGCTTGCGGAGTTCCGGCTGCCGTGGGAGTTACGGTAGAAGCTGGAGGTGGAGGCGGTGCTAGGGATGATGAAATTGTCGGAGCCGGTGGAGTCGTAAGGGTTTGAGGAGGAGGAGTGGTGTTGGGTTTTTCTCAAAGAAGGGGATGGTCGTGGGGTGGGTGACGTCACTTTCCGGGACATGGTCTTCTTGGATTTGCACATGGAGAAGAACATACATCGAAATTCGAAAAGGGAAATGGAGGCGGCGCCGGCGGAGCAGCTAAAGTCCCGCCGTTAGGTACAATAACATTACTATTTTAAATACTAATGGCCAGGTGTATTTGTGATTTCTAATGAAAAATTAAAATTTCTGTGTATTTAATTTAAAATTTTTAAAGACTTTGAAAAGTAAAGATACTAGTTTGAGCCCATGCATTTATACGAAAACGGTATAATAGAAGAAAGAGCCATTGAACATGATTTGTGTTTTAGTGTAAATACTATCATTTTATTATAAATACGTGTTTATTACTGGATTGCTATTTGTTGCTCCAAATTACTATTCGTCGTCTGAAAAAAATTAATAAAAAATGATAAATTTATAAAAATATCCCTGTAAGAAAAAAAAATACTAAAAAAAGGCATTCAAACGTCTATCAACTAAGCTCGGTCAGCAAAGGAAACATCTAAATGCGAGGCCCGACTCTGAAGAGATACGTCTAGAAGCTAAGCTTGGCAGCAAAGAAACGTCCAGCAGAGAAGCCCGACTGTGAAAACAAACGTCCAAGAGCTAAGCTTGGAAGCAAAGAAAACGTCCAAATGCGAAGCCCAACTCTGAAGAGAAACGTCTAAATGGGAAGGGGCAACACATTTAAAACTTTTAAATTGCAAGCTTATTCTGCCGCTAAACGTCTAACTGGAAAGCTTGAGGCTATGTGAAACGTCCAAGAGTTAAGCTTTAAAGCATACCCAATGTCTTTTATTAATGCTTGCCTATGAAAGTAAATGTCTAACATGGAAGCTCCATTGTGAAAACAAGCGTCCAGAAGCTAAGCTTGGAAGTCAAGTAAACATCTAACTGGAAAGCTTGAGGCCATGTGAAACGTCAAAGAATTAAGCTTTAAAGCATAACAAACGTTCTTCATTGAAAATTGCCTATGAAAGCAAACGTCCAGAAGCTATGCTTGGTAGCCAAGCAAACGTCCAATATGGAAGCTCCATTGTGAAAATAAACGTCCTGGAGTTAAGCTTGGAAGTCAAATAAACGTTCCAGAAGGAAGCTTAAGTCTTTATGGAATGTCTTATAATTAAGCTTTGAATCCAAACAAAGTCCCAAAAAAAAAAGCTTAGGACGACAACAAACTTTTTTAAGGAAAGCTTAATGTACCCAGAAACGTCCAACGTGAAAGCTTCCTCAATAATTTGATTTTTTCCACATATCACCCAAACTACGTTTCCACGTATCTTACAATAATCAACCTAACATCAACCCATGCAACAAATCTTTAAAAGGATATAGAATTGTTATTTTATAATATACCCTTATTTTTAATATGATTTTAATAATAAAGTCGTAATCATATCTATTAATGACAAAATAATTTTTAATCATATTTTTTAGTGAATAAAAGTAAAGGTTCATATTTTTTAGTGAATCACAGTAGATGTATTATCTGCACGATCACGTTTACATCTTACGGGTTTAGAGTACTAGTCATGGCCATGGGCCGCCCCGCCCAGGTCCGCCGGTTCAACCTGAACCGGCCCATAGTCAACAGGTTCAGAACCGAGCTCGTAGTTGACTAGGCCGGTTATAGGCCTCACGTATAAAAAGTTTTGAGTCAGTGGGCCGCGTCTAGGCTGGTCCTCGAGACGGCCCACCGTATTTTTCTTTTTTTTTTTTTAATCTGTTGACCGAGTCAAGCCGACTCGCGGCCTGGTATTGGATCGTTGGCAACCCGCTAATCTGGATTGTTGAAAGCTTTTGACTGTTGGAGATCTAACTGCTAGCTTTTGTATTTTTTATTTTTTAAATTCGATTGATTCAGCTCGTCGGTTCCACAACGGTTGACCAACGGTCAAATTTTCAAACCTGACTGTTGGATCAGGTCAAATTTTCAAATCTGATTGTTGGAGATCGAACAATAAGATTTTTTTATTTTTTTTTTCTAAATTTTGTTCCACGGTCCAGGTCTGGGTTCAGTTTCGACTCGGCCCACCGGTTCCACAACAGTTAACCAACGATCAAATTTCAAATATGACTGTTAGATCGTTTTGACCGCTGAGATCCAATGGTCAAGATTTAGTTATGAAATATAATTAATATCTTATTTGTCTATTGACAATTATGATAGTTGTGAATGAACGTCACTTAAACTATTGATCCAATAAAATGAACCTCACTTTTTAACGAATCAAAGTAGAGGTTTTTGTATGCACGTTCCTGTTTATATCTTACGGTCATACTAGTCACGACGTTGGGATGGCCCCGCCTGCCAATTTGACCCGAATCGATGGAATCGGCCCTGAATCGGTCCGAATTGAAAGACCGGCCCAGCCCGCCGGTTCGACTCGAACTGACCGAATTGGCCCAGAACCGAGTCCATAGTTTGACCTGACCAGTTCTGGGTCTTTGGCCCGGCGGACCGAGTCCAGACNGGCTGACCCGCCAATTTTTTTTTTTTTTATTTAACTTACTTAAATTTGTCGATATTTTTCTTAGTCTTATTCTGTATTATAATTAAAATGGTATGAAATGTTAAATAAATATTATTTTGAGAAAAAAATAATATTATATTTTATTAAAATCTTAAATTTTCAATTTTAGTTGCACAAATTTAGTCTTAACTAAAATTTAGAGTCGGTTTATATCTGAAAATCGGTCGTTTTCGATTATATGTTCATAATTTTCAGTTATTTTAATCGGTGTCGGTTTTTAGACATCAAATGTCGCGGGCTGACTCGCTTTAAAAAAATAAAAACTGTACGTCTGGAGTATCCCACCCAGCCCAACACTTAGGCCCAATTTGAATAAAACATATGGCCCAAATCCCTAACCCCAGTCATCGTCTCTTACAAGTTCTCATTTTCTCTCTCTCAGTACACTAACCCTTCTCTGCCGACGGCGACAAACCTTGAAGGCTGACCACTTCCCGACGGCGAGGCGAGCCCAGACACGGAGAGTCGAGCCCAGACACGGCGGCTGACGAGCACACCGAAGGCCTAAGTCCAGCGACCGAGAGCAGCACCACCAACGGGTTTCAGTCCGGCGACCGACGAGCAGCACCTTCCCCCTGCTCGAACCAGATTCCGACGAGAGCCACCAGGTGAGAGAAGCAACCCACGGTTAAGGCCTGACCATTTCTGTGGCTGAGACGAGCATCCAGGAGAGTGAAAAGCAGCAGAATCTCAGGTGACCGGAGATATTTTCCGAGTCCCAGCAGCAATTTCGAGCCGTCCCAACCGAACACATTTCTTTCTCTATTTTCACGGTAATCCATTGGCTCATCATTTTGCAGTGTTCAAGTTGATGAAAGTATTTTCTTCACATCCCTTGTGGTGGGTCTTGAATTGATAATTGTTGGGAATTTGATTTGCTTTGAGTTTGATCAGTTATGATTTGTGGGTAAAGTTGGACTTTGGATATCTTGCTTTCTGACAAACAGATTTTGGTTATCAAATGAGGCTGTGGATGTGTTAAGCCATTGTTTCAAGGCGGCGTGCGCGCTTTCCACTCTACAAATTGTTGTGTTCCCAAAGTGTTGTACTTGGTTTGTCCAGAGACGAACAAACTTCTCCTTGTGTGGATCCAACCATGTGGACTCAAGGTAATACAAAATTTTTGGATGAGGACGCAATTTTTCTCTCATGTCTGCCAAGGCTTTTTCGTACTTATCCACGGCTTGCCATAGTCTCCATGTGCCACTTTTAAAACTCGAAGCGTAATCTCGACTATTTACATTTTTATTATCGCCTAATTTTTTGTACACTTGATTCTCCACATCCTTGTTGATGTGGAAAGTACAAAGTAAGTGGGGAGTTTGAGGAAATTGTTCCTTAATGGGAGCTATCAACCCCATCTTCCTGTCAATCATCAAAATGGCTCATCAAAATGACTGTGGGCTCAACATCATTCCCAATCAAAATCCGTAGTTCTTCAACCCCCATCGATAACTATTAGCTGACTCATCCTTAATAATTGCATAAGCAATCAAAAATTTTTTATTACCAGGAGTCATGCCAATAATTTGGAACAAAGGCATCTCGTACCTGTTTGTCTTGTACGTGGAGTTCATGCCAATGACCCAAGGTATGCTCTAAGTGTCTTTTTCGACTGGATCAAGAACACATGAGTTATCTTCTTTGTATCATGATCTCTAAGCGATTGAATATCATTTTCGTTGTCCTTAGCCAACTTGTAGAACTGTTGAATCATACTCCTTTTTCCCAAATGATGCCCTCCGGAGCTTTGTCTTGTAGTTGTAAATTTGTCTGATGTGACAATTGTCCTCCGGAAATGATTGTTGAACAGGCCTGATTACATCTAAGCCTTACACTGGTGGGTAAATGCTTTGAAGTTATTTTCAACTCATACCATGAGTATATGGCAAGAAAGTAGCAATAATGCAGAGCTTCACTATAACTCTTATGTATTTGTCCGTCTTGAAAATAATCCGTGTAATCTTCAAATTCATCCCGTAAATAGTTAAATTACACAATTTTATTACCACATTTGATTAAAAGTAAATATTAATAATAATAATAAATCATATAGGTGATAAACGAAGAAAACTATAAAATTTAGTTGCAGAAAAACAAGCTTTCGGTTTAGACGTTTGAAGTGCTTATAAACTTTAGGATTAGACGTTTCTGAGACATACAAGCTACAAATTGGACTTTCTCTTAACAGTCGGGCTTCCAATGTAGACGTTTCAGGGGTCATGAAGCTTAACTAAAAAACGTTTACATCGTGTATAAGCTTAGCTATTAGACGTTTAGTCTACGTTCTAGCTTTTACCTGGGACGTTTACTGAACGAACTTAAACCCTAACCTACATCTATTATCACTCTATTCATTCTACCATACTAATCAATTCCTCACATTGGTTTAACGAAACATATATGAAGAGGATTTAATGATCTAAGTCCTAAAATAACTCAAACACTCAAAATTCAAGAGATCTATTTGTGAGTGAAAATCAATGTAAAAAAAAAATAAAAAAAATTAGGGGTTAACATAATTTACCTCATTTGCATGTGTCCTCGATGATGTTGGATTACTAGACATGTGGATTAATGAAGAATAATGTAGAGATTGATGAGTTAATTTCTAATGAAGAGGAAGAAGGAGATTGATGAATATATGGATCTTGGTAAAGTGAAGAAGAAGGAGATAGGTAAAATATTTTTACTAGTACAAAAATGTAATTTCTATTATTATTAGTAGGTCAAAACTGAATCGAGACCTGAACCGTGGAATCGAATTTAGAAATAATAAATAAAAAAATTCTTATTGTTCGATCTCCAATAGTCAAAAGCATTCAATGGCCCAGATTAGTGAGCTAGTCCAATATCAGGCCACCGGCCGGATTGACCCGACCAACATATTAAAAAACAAAAGAAAATATGGTGGTCCATCTCCAGGGCCGGCCTGGACCAAAATTTTTTATACATGAGGCCCAGAACCGACCTAGTCAAAGGTTCTGAACCTGTTGACCATGGGCGGTCAAACAGGTGGACCTGGCCGGGCCGGCCCATGGCCATGACTAGTACTCTAAGATGTAAACATGAACGTGCATACAATACATCTACTTTGATTCACTAAAAAATATGCATTTCTACTTTGATTCACTAATGTTTTCTGTTGGACTAATAGTCTAAGTGAGATCCATTCATAACTATGAGAATTATCTATAACCTAATAAAAATTACGATTTTATTAAAATATGATTAAATATGAATCTATTAAAAGAATATTTTGTCATTATTAAATATGATTACGATTTTGTTATTAAAATTATATTAAAAATAAAGGTATATTATATAATAACAATACTATATCCTTTCAAAGCTTTGTTGCATGAGTTGATGTGAGGTTGATTATTTTTAGATATGTGGGAAAGTAGTTTGAGTGATATGTGGAAGTAATCAAATTATTAGGAAGTTTTCACGTTGGACGTTTCTGGGTACATTAAGTTTTCCTTAAGGAGGTTTGTTGTTGTCCTAAGCTTCTCTCTGGGACGTTTGTGTTGCTTCAAAGCTTAGCAGTCGGACGTTTCCTAGGGCCACAAGCTTCACTCTTGAACGTTTCTTCGGCTTCGGAGCTTCGCTTCTGGACGTTTGCTTTCACTGCCGAGCTTTCATTTTGGACGTTTATCTGCCATGAGAGCTTAGCTGCTGTTTGTATCCGGTCATAAGCGGGCTTCTAGGTTGGACGTTTTTTGTGCTTCAGAGCTCAACATTAGGACGTTTGTCTTGGCTTCAAGCATTAAACCCAGAACGTTTAGTCTGCACCATAAGCTTTCATTTTAAAAGTTTAAAATGTGTTGCCCCATCGCTTCTAGATGTTTCTCTTCAAAGTCGGGTTGTGCATCTGAACGTTCCATGGGCTTCCGAGCATAGCCTTTGGACGTTTGTTGTCACAGTCGAGCTTCCTTGTTGGACGTTTCTTCGACTTTCAAGTTTAGCTTCTGGACGTTTCTTGATCTTTCGAGCTTTGTTGTTAGACGTTTGAATGCATTTTTTTCCATTAACATTTTTTTTACCATAGGGATATTTTTGTAAATTTACAATTTTTTAATATTTTTTTCAGGCGACGAATAGTAAATTGGGGCGACAAATAACAACACCTGTTTATTATCAACTTTAATATCTGGGTAAATAATAATAATAAAAAAATAGTGTTTTATCTTTATTCTCTAGTGCAATCGCCCTTAAGCTCTATCTCACGCGAGTTTCAGCTTCCTGAACCCATCCTCTTACCCTCGTCGCTCTGGTCAAAGCCACCGGCCACAGCTCTCGCATCCTCGCCGGCGTCACACCCACCGGCCGGAGGCTATTTCTCAGGTGATAAATAGCCCTTGTTCAACAATTGTTGATGCTTTCGTATTTTTAAGGGATGGAGGGAAAAACTAGCCCGAGTTTGAGGGAACAAAATAAAGATGTAATGATGAACAATTTTCAACCTTTTGAGCTTCAATTTAAAGAATGGAGTTGATTTGTTGGTTTTGTTTACATGGAGACGAATGAAAATGGTTGAGATACGCTTCTTATTTATTTTAATGAAATATGATTTTAAAACTCAACGCCCAGCCCCCAAGCTTTTTTCCAGAATATATATATATATATATATATATATATATATATTTTGTTGCCCATTTTCACATTTCTACTAAGAGTGCCATCTAATTTACTAAATACTTTACAAATTATCTTGTTCCACCTTATGCATGTAAATCACAGCTAATTTTTTCGCTAATTTGTGTGCTCAGAATAATTCGACATTATGAGAGTTTTATGGAGATGGCACAATGTTTTGATTCGGAAGAATCCGATTATTCAATCTACAATAGCAACGCATTCAGCGTCATTCCACTCGACTACTACTTTCTTTGAGAAATGGATAAATAAATTTGATGCTGTAAGATTCTTCTAGTTTAGCTTTCGTTTTTTTTTCTTTCTCATTATGTGTTTGCTTGTCTTGAACTTGCTATTTTCAATCATTTTTCAGTTTTTCTTCCTGATTAGTGGACTTTAGCAAACACATGTCAGTAAATTCTGGGTTGTGTTAATCTCAAACAAATTGGTTTTCTTGAATTGAGCCCTGGTGTTAAGGTTGTAGCTTGTATAGAATTGGCTTTAGTCCAAGTGTTAGAGGATGTCTTTTCTCGGCAAGCAGTCTTGTGGACGCAACCTATAGGTGCCTGTGTGTGAGAAATTTTATTTACTTATTATAAGGACAACTATTATTTCTTCATATTATATAAGTATTGTCATAAACATAAGTAAAGGTTGTAGCTTGTATATGATTTATAGCTGAGGTTTTTGTAGGAAACCTATTTTAACAGACTGGTAGTGAAAGCGGAAACTTGATTGGATGATGAACTTGTTACTTGATTATCACTGGCTCCTTAAGATCTAGAGAAAAAATGGTGTTGACCGTGAAAGAAACTTGCGTGGCGAACAAACATGTGATTTAGTGAAAGGATATTTCGTGTGTCAAAACATCTGCGAGAAATTATCCCAAGAAGGTTTGAACTTTGTAGTTGGTTGATCCACCACTTGAAAGTTATTGAACTCAGTAGATGTTATTTGTCAGTTCAGTGTGAATAAATAAACAAATTAGACATGTGCTGGATTAATTAGGATGTAGGTGAAGGCTGTGCCATATCAAATAATTGTTTTAGTAACTCTTTTAGGCTTGTAGCGTGAATCTGGTGCCATGTAGCTGTGAGATCCTTTTTACATGACGTTAGTGTCCAGTTGGCTGAGGAATGTTGTGTATACACATATTGTGTTCTTTTAGAATTTTGTTATATTTTTTGTCAGTTTTTCTGATTATTGTGTGTCCTTTATGTAGTTCAAAAGACTTGCTATGATTGCCTTGATGAATTTTCCATGGATTTCTTCAAAAATTTGAAACCCCATTATTATTACACATCTCAGAAAATGAAAATGAACTCAAGAAAAGACACATTTTTTGAACGTTGGGATATGAGGGAGGTTGCAGTTATGATAGGTGTTGTGTTATTTTTTGTGTTTTTTGTAGATGAATTATCTAAGTCGGGGTTCTCTGCATTTGTATGTTGCATTATGCATTTGGAGCTTTAATATTGCAGCTTAGGAGATTATTTATTTATTATTTTCTTTTATGACAATCATGGATTTACATATTAGTTACTTTCATGAATTTACATGTTTATTTTAACGTCTATAGTTATCCAAGCTTGGTATGGCTCTGTGGTGCCAAGTTATTGATATTTGCTTCAACTGGAAAGGAACTTAACATTTAACCTAAAACTACTACCATTGAAAGATAAATGCCGAAGGTTGATATAACTGTCATTGTCTTTGGTATTTTAAAATAATCGTAAAAAATGCAAAATATGCAAAAATTAGTAAATATGAGAAGGATATGAATTTTCAGAGATTTTAAAAATCTTACAAACAATGATCACTGGTGAAAAAATTTATCACATCAGTATTATTTATCACTCTTTTACTTTAAACTAGTACAGAGCCCGTGCGATGCACGGGGTGCACAATTTTAAGGCTATTTATCCAGACTTATAATTATATATATGAATAAAGAAAAATGTACGGGATATATATAGTACGTGCGAAGCACGAGATATATTTATTTGGAGAATATTATATTATAAGATGCAATATTCAATAAAAGTTTATAATACGCAAGAAATTGTACAATGTTCAATAAAAGTTTTATAATATTCAAATGGAATCTTAAAGTCTCTTGTACATTAAGACTACTGACAAAATAATATTTTAATCAATGAGTTTTCTTTCCTTGTAGCCAAATTGTGAATGTGATTTGAGGAGTACAACAAATCGATATATAGCTGACTTGTTTTTTCATTGTAGTTAGCAAAAAATAATTTTTTTTTATTACAATTAGCAACTTTACTAAATATAAACTTTCAATCTATGGTGTTAATCAACGTTTAAGTCTAAAAAATTAAGAATTTTTACCTCTTTTAATCAACGTTTAAGTCTAAAAAACAATAGAGTTATTATAAGTTTTTTTTCTACATCTTTTAAAACATTAAATATGAGCATATTAGGGCTAGCTTGTAAAATAATTAATATATTATATCACTAAAATATTTATACTAATAAAAATTTAATTTTAGCATATAAATTTATCCCTTGATATAAGAGAAAGTAACAGTTTTACTTATTGTTGTTCACCATATAATATTTATTATTATTTTATTATATAATAAAAAAAGAATATTGTTAAATAGTGCAGTAGAATTGTTATAAAATTATATGATTTTTTTTTACAATATGGATTTAATATTTTTTTATGATTTGATAATATAAACAAATCTATACTTAACTTTGACAAATAAAACAAATAAATATTTTAGCAAGTATTTAATGTATATACTAAATAAGAATATATTTGGTATAATCAAATACCAAATATAATCAAATAAGTCAAAGTGTACATTTTTATTTGGTATTTGATTTTTTTATTATTAAAATCTTTTTATTATACTTACCTTTTTAAAATAAAACAAATAAATAAATCAATTAAATAAATAAAATATTATAATACCAAAATAGTAATGACATTTAATGCAGTTGACTTTTCTGGATAGTAAATGTAGTAAATAGAATATCCTTTTATATAGTATAATACGGAAATAGTAATGCAATAAATGTTGTTGACTTTTCTGGCTACTTAATTTGGTAAATAGTACCCCCTTTAATATAAGTATAGATGCAATCTCTCTTATTATTTGATCTATTTCACTTCTGAATGATCTCTTGACCACTATTATTTGGGAGACGGAAATGGTGAAAAGAATAAATAAGCAGTTGCACCCTATTTGAACCCTGAAAAATATATGGCTAATATAAGGTTTTGTTTTTGTGTTTGTTTTCTTTGTTAGAATTGTGAATTTATTATAGAACCTTATCTCTGACAATGTTGGCTTTGTTCTTTTCCATCGTAGTTCTTTTGATGCTTTTATTCTTTCATATCTGCTTGTTTCGAAATATAGAAATTTAAAGATTGAAATATGCTGCAGGATGCAAAGAGAGAAAAACAACAGTCAAAGGTAAATTGTTACAATTAACTTCTTTAGTTTTGGTTATTTCCTACTTATTTGAATAATGCTTGAAATATTGTCAAGTTGGTAGTTATTAAATGATAAATGGCCCAGCCAACACTTATACACGATAACAGCTCAATAACTGATCGATGTCCTCATGCGCAGTGTGCCAAACCAAATGGCCGGGTCTTCTAACATTGAACAAGCCAAAGCTAAACTCAGAAATATTTCTTACAGACATATCTGATTACTCAATTTTAACATTCTTGTTGCCTCCATGTAACTTCCTATCACCCAGCTACTTATTTTTATAGAATGAAATAATTAGTCCAGCATCTTCTTGAATGACGTAATTTTCAGGACAATAGTGCTATTCATACTCCTAACCTCAAGCTGTTTCAGCTTCCATTTTGTATTCTTAGTCAAGTCAAATAAGTCTGTTATATCAGTGGAACAGGTTCTTTTACCTATGTTATGGACATAACTCTTTCATTTACTGCTGTTCACGGACTGCAACTGATGCCGATCTCAGATTGTTACTGATAATGATTTTTTTTTTTCTTAAAAATTATAATTCTTTGTCTATGAAACTATTCAATTATGAGTATTTTGGCCTACTTATGAGGAAGTTTGTTGCATTGCTAAACCTTACGGAACTTTTTCTGACTTCAAGATTATTTATTTATTCAGAACTACATAAGATATGAGGTGAGGCAGAAGCGAGCTGGCACGAAAAAAGCGCTTAAAAATATACTCTTCAAAGGGGGTTGCTCAACATCAAGAGCCGAGGTCAGCGTTTTTCAATCTTGCATATATGGATGGCATCATGTAGCAAATTAATAATATATGCAAACAGCCATATCAACTTGCTGCTTTTGAAACTTGGTCTCTGTACCAGTTTTTTTTTTACTTTCTCTCTCTTTCTTTTTTTNTATACATTTACATTTTTATGTTTTGTCTTCACATCTGATACAAGATTTTTGGGGTAATTTGATAAATGTTGATCCGCTGTTTATATTATCAGTCATTCCCGAAAATCGAAGTACCCTATGAGGAACAATTAAACAAGAAACCCCGAGCAAAGTCTCGTCAAGATAAAAGAAGTCAACAAAAGAAATTGAGACGTAAGTTTCTAATTCCTGACTTTCTGCTTGAACTCCAGTGGGCAAAAATCTTTTTCCAGATTAGTTCAAGTTCATATTTTGATTTCTGCTTTTCAATTTGAATCTGATTGAGTTTTGTTGGTACCAACTACCCGAAATTTCACCAATTTAATGAATAAAGAAGACTAGTACAACACCCATGTGGTTTCAAAAATTATCTGCATATTTTTTTTAACTAACATAGAAGTTTTTATTTCTTTTAAAAAATTGAAAATTGTGTAATTAGTTTTATTTAGAAGGACACTCATGTGTTTGTACATGAACACCGTAATCTTTTAATTATGTTAGTTTAAACTTCGTCGACATCTGTTTCAAGTTGCATTAGCAAATTAGCTGACAAGCTTTCATGTTAGATTTCATATTTCAACTAATACATTTACATATATACAACTCCACGTATTTATAATTTCCAAATCCTGCGCGTCTAAACTTTGGGATAATTATATTGTTTGATAGTTATATTTCTAAACTTGTAATACAAACGTGATCGATTATTGATCTATAAGCTAATGTTTGCCTGCCAAATATTCAAGAAATGCCTACCACATAAAACCAATTTGGCTTTATGCCGGGAAGATCAACAATTGTTATTCATGTAATAAGGAGATTTTGTGAACATTTTAATGAGAAAAAAACAAAATTTGCATATGGTTTTTATTGACCTTGGGAAAACATATGATAGTGTTAATAGAGGTATAATGTAGAGAGTGTTAAAAAAGAGGGGAGTGCGAGTTGGTTATATAGAAATCATAAAAGATATGTATAATAATGTAAAAACTTGTGTTAGGACACCGGTGGGGATATCAGGTGAATTCCCTATCACTATTGGTTTGCATCAAGGTTCGGCGTTGAGTCTGTATCTCTTTGCATTAGTAATTGATGAACTTACGACACATTTGCAATTGAATGTCAATGATTGCATGTTGTTTGCGAATGACATAATGTTAGTAAATGAGATGAGAAAGGGGTAAATGCTAAGTTAGAAACATGGAGAGAGGCTTTTGAATCTAAGGGTTTCAAAATAAGTAGGGCCAGAATAGAATAAATTGAGTGTAATTTAGTAATTAAAGAAGTAGTAATGGTGTAAAAGTTAAAATTGGGGAACACGAATTGAACACATCTAAAAGTTTTAAAGATTTGGATCCATTCTAGAAGATAATGACAACATAGATAAGGATGTAACACACAGAATTCGGATGTAACAAGTGGAGGAGCGCGTTGTCGAGACTCTGTGATCGTAAAGTACCAGTGAGTTTGAAAGGCAAGTTCTATCGAACGGCCATTCCAGCGACGGTGCTTTATGGATCCTAGTGTTGGGTTACTAAATATGAAAATGATCAAAAAATGTGAGTGGCAGCGATGAGAATGTTGAGATGGATGTGTGGGCATACTAGCTTAGATAAGATTAGAAATGAAAGTATTAAAAATGAAGTTTGGGTAGCGCTCATAGAAGAGAAAATGAGAGAATTACGATTAAGATAGTTGGGCATGTGTGTAAGAGAGACTTCAAGGCCCTGGTGAGAAGGGTAGAAACATTAGAATTAAGAACGCAAGTTATAGGAGGGGTTCG